GAAGAAGGAGCTGGGGAGAGCGGAGGAGGGAGAGGGAGCCGGGCCGGGCGCGTAGACAGCAGCCGCTCGCACTCCCGCGGTGGAGAGGAGGACGCGGAGGGAGGATGGGGGGGAGGAGGAGAAAAAGGAATCCGCGCCAAACCGGGAGCTCGCAGGAGTCCGAGAGGGAGGGCCAGGGCGTCGGGGAGACAGCAAGGTACCCCTGGGGAGCCCCCCGGCCGGATAGGGCGGAACGGGCCGGGAACGTGCCCCCAGGAATGGAACAAAGGATAGTGTGCGAGGGCTTGTTTGGGGCGAGGCCTGTGGGGTGTGAATCTGAGTGTGCGGGTGTGTGACCTTCTCGCAGGTCTGCAGGGCAGAGGGAAGAGGTCACGGAGACTAGGTAGGGGTTGATGGGGGGGGGGGGAGTGAGGGAAGGGCAGGAGGATGGAGTTAAGGTAGGCAGGGTGGGACTGAGAGAGGATGACCCAGGAGAAATCTGGAAAAGTGGGGTGAGTGGGGGGCAGTCAGGAGCGAGCGAGCGAGGCCAGTCAACCCGGGAAGGCCGGGCCGCTCGGCCCCGCACCCAGGCTCCCAAGGTCAACGCGAGGGGAACAGGTACGCGGCACCCAGTGTCCGAGCACCATTGTCCGCGAAGAGATTGCGCTGGACAAGGCGCAGGCCCTCATAGAGTCTAGAATTTCCTCTGCTCTACCTACACTCAGCGAGTTCACTCCGGGTCACGGCTATCTCATTTTTTAAAATGACGAGGTTAAGGTTCTTGTTGAGCATGGTATTAAATTGCACGGGATGTTGGTGGGGGTGGGAAGGGAAGCTCCCCTCAAATCCACGTTTTCTCCTAAAAATCGGAGAACAAGTGAAGTTCGAGAGGTCATTTTCACCCGAAAAGTGTGTCCTAGTTCTAAACCCTGATGTTTCGATTTCTTGACTGGAGCAAGGCAGGGAGCAGGATACTTACGCTCAGTCTTGCCCTTGGATGAAAGGGCTATAAATATGATTCGCCTGGAAGCCCAGGTGTGAAGGCTGCTGCCAGGCACATTGGACAAAGTTCTTCCAGTCTCAAGGGCATCCTGCGAATGCATGTTTTTGGAAAGTGTTGGAAAACAGCCATAGCCCTCGGTTGGGTTTTCCCACCAATATTAGTTCCTGCATAGGAGCAAAACACAGCCAGGTCCGCCATCAAAGAACCCTCCCCTTTGGCCCCCCAATAGAGAGTAAAGTTCTCTCTAAAAGTTGCATTGCCCTTCCTACATCAACGTACCAATTCTCGACATTTTAGGAAAATAGAACGACTTGTGAAATATGTACATTAAAAAGGCCTGTCATGAAAATAATCCCGGTCACCACATAGGTTTGGGGCTTTTCCTGCATTTGGGGGCTGTCTGGAACATGTTATGTGTTCTGTTGAATTACTCCGTGTTTTGAATTCATTTGAGTTAGCAGTAAAAACAGGCAAACAAACTTGCTCAATTTGTTTTGAATGCTAAATCCCTTCACTTTGAAATAGCTAACAGTCGACAGATGGACTCATTTTATGGAAAGGGTTAGCTTCTTGAGCCACGAAGAAAACTGAAGAGAGATCTACATTTTAAAGCCATTACTGAACTTCACATAACATCCGTGAAAACTCAAACCTTCTCCCTTTACCAGGTGAAAACTCAAGACAGTTTTACTTAAGGGGGACATGCCCACGTGCTGTTTTTTTTTTAAATTTTTATTTTTATTTCCCCCCTGCCCCTAGGTTTCTGGAATCTTGCTGAGGCAAGAAAATAAAATTTACCAGGTGAAAACTCAAGACAGTTTTACTTAAGGGAAGAGACATGAGGGGGACATGCCCACGTGCTGTTTTTTTTTTATTTTATTTTTATTTCCCCCCTGCCCCTAGGTTTCTGGAATCTTGCTGAGGCAAGAAAATAAAATTTAATCAACAAGTCTGACAACTGAAATCTAAAGTTACAACGTACCGGCAGATGTTTTCCGAGCGAGACATTTTCATCTCTGCTTATCAAACATTTCTCCTACCCCCACCTCCGAATACTGGGTTAATGTCCCCCCCCCTTTTTTCTTTTCATTTTATAGAGATTAAGAGATGCTCAAGCAGAAGGGCCTCGCCTTCGTCTGGTGGCAGGGATGGGAAATCGCAAGGAAAAGTGGTAAAAGAGTGAGAAAATCAGAGACAGGACGCTTCAGAGACCCAGAGACCAGGGAGAGAGAACCCGGCTGCAGCTGGGAGGCCGCGCAGATCTGCGCGTGCAGCCCCCTCCCCTCTGGATTCGGAGGGTTGCTAACCAGGACAGGGATGAAGGGGCTTGGGGAAGCTCACGACCCCTCGTCCCCTTCTGTCTGGAGTCTCGCCTGCCAGGAGCTGGTGAACCCTAGTCCGGCGGGCGGGCAGTCGCAAACACCGCTCTGAGCTTTTGGGTCCTCGCCTCGCCCAGCGCCAGTGCAGCTGAAGTGAGCAGCTGGTGGGAAATGCAAATGGCTCCTGGAGAAATAGAAGATACAGAATGATTCTCATTCCCCCCTCGAGTGTGTGGAAGGAGCTGGACATACGTTTCACGCTCCTAATCCTTCTTTTACATTTTTAGTCATACTCCTATTAAACAACTAATTAATGCCCAGAACCACGGGGGAATACATTAGGCATGCAGCGGGGAGGCAGGGTGCTGGGGGGCTACAAACCGCCGAGCTGCTGTAAGATGTGGATTTCAGGTTTTCCCTGTCAGAGCAGAAATGGAATAGTGGGCCCTGGCGACGGGCCGTGGCCATGGGATTTAGATTCCGATTGCTCCAAATTAGGAAGGGGTGGAGGGAGCGTCCCAGCAAAGCGAGCACTCTGCCCTGCAGTTGTAAACAAGGTTGCAGCTTCGAAGGTACCACCAGCTCCTTAAGGGCCAAGTCGCCGGGTGGGGAGGCGCTGACCTCGCGTATCTGTGAATTTCCAGGATGTTACAATGTGACATAAACAACGCGGGTCGGCTCTCCTGGTATTCCTTGATGAGACTCGGTGCTCTAGAATATCTTTAATTTTTTTCCTCTGGTGTGTACATCATTTTTACTTTTCCAAAAATTTTGAAACAAGTGTGAAGAGAATAACCTTCCACTGGACTATTTCCCCTAGCTCTTCTTTCTGTCTTTTCTACCCTGGGGTTTTATGTGCCGGGGACACCGGGAAATAAACATCCCCTCCCCTCCAACCAGCCCAGGGAGAGCGCTCCTTGACGGAACAGGGTCAGAGAATTTTTAGTGAGATTCTGAATGATATCCCTTCTTTTCATATTTGAAGCAAGTGACAGAACTGCTAAGAGCAAGAATCAAATGGTGAGACTCCGGGAGGACATAACATTTTCTGATCAAAGAGGGGCAAGACCGGGGACAAATGTGGGGTGACCTCCGCCAGCCCTCGCTGCCCCAGAGTGAGGATTTGGGGGAGGTACAGTATTATTTTACAGCCCGCGGGACGGGCTTCGTGCTACCATTGACTTTCTCACTCTGGATTATGATCTCAACCCTGGCAGGCAATTTCCCAGCTCCTTATCTGACAACAAGCGAGTATGTAAATACCGATGGCTAGAGATGTTTAACTGCCTCAAACATTATTGATTTGTTGGCGGTTCTAAATTTTCTCTCCAGTCTTAGATCTTGTTTCTGAATGATCTCTTCAGGCGGTTTGATCAGAATGTCCGATGCTACAATACAATAATTGTTTTTTTTTAAAAAAGGCATTTAAGATGAACCAGATGATTTGCATATAAATTAAAATTACTATGCGTTGCCTATTCCGGTGTCGTATAATCATTTTGAAATTAGTACTTAACCACTAGAGCTAAAAGAATAGATAAATGTCTGTATTGACTGACTAATGAATTACCTAATTAAAACGTCCCGGGGATGCGGGGCTCCGGAAAGATGGTTAAATCAAGACATTTTAGGGAGGGATGAGGGTAGGATGGGTAACAGGCCGCTGTCTGGAACTCGGGACGGAGATCCGGTGATGCCGAGCTTAATTTGGGAACCCTGGTCCTTCTCTGTTGTGACTGATTTCGTGCTTGTTGGTAAATAAACGAAGGGGAAGGAGCGCTTCGTCGGCCGCGGTCTAACCCAGAAGTGCTAACTCCCGGAGCCGCCGGGCCAGCCGGGAGGTGTGTGGCCGGCGGTCGGGCCAGCCTTCCCCTCGCCCTGCCTCGCGGACCTTCTGGGCG